ATTGGATAAGTTGATTATTGTTTACGCAGAATCTGCATCAAAAAAAAATTTGCATGAGATCATTATCAGAAAAGCAGAATTTGCCTCTTAATGACTTAGTTGACTAAGCTAATAACTTAGCCAATGATTCAGTTAATCTACTATTAGTCAATCGATTAACAACACTATATACAATCAAACAATCAAATGGGCTAATTAGTGATATTGGACCCTGAAAAGAGTCACTAAATTTAAATTTAATCTAATTTAAACTCTATTTGATTTTTTTTATTAGACTAATAAATTATTAGAGTATTATAATTATGATTGTTTAAGAACATTCTCAAATATCTATCTTAATGAATTCAATAAAAGATCTAATTAACTCAAACAGACTAATCAGATTTGTTATTGAGTCCATTAAGGTATGTAGATGCTTGAGAATGTTTTAAACCTATTGAGGGTTTATTCTGTACTATTCTGCAAGAAGGATTTAATAAATATACATCAAACTCATAAGATGCTCTTTAAAACTTATTAGATTATCATCTAATTTATTAGCCTGGGCCTATTAATATATATCATTTGATATCGTTATTATTATGAGTAAAAGTCAAAAATAAATCTTCAGCTTTAAAAATATAATTAATTTTCTAATTATTTGTTTGTCAGACAATTGTATTGTTAAATGAACTGTCACTATTAAAAATTTTTTTAGAGCATTGTATTTAGCTTATATGCATATTACGAATTAGTTCATATGTTTAATCCATATGTATTAAGGTTGCATAGATATTATTTCAAAATTATTTTTAGAGGATATAATTTTTGAAATAACGATTTTCAATATACTATTTTAAAAATTAATTTTTAGTTATAGTATATTTTTTGCATTAGGTTTAAAATATAAGAAAATAAATTTTATTATTTTATTGTTATTAATTTATATAAGATCTAATAAATTACAAAAAAAATAAAAATTAAATAAATATATTACAATTATTCACTTTGTGTTTTTCGAAAATTTTACAATCTTTTAATTTTGTTTTTTTAATATTTATATAGTGTTTGATATCCCAAATTATTATTTACATTTTGCTCTTTCACAATGAGTAGAAATCAAAGTATTAAAGATTTTTTATCAACTTTAAATAATAAACTATCCTTAACTTGATCTAAAAAAATAATACCAAAAAAAAATTCGATCTTCTGTTAATTGTTATTGTGACAAATGTAATAGTAAAAGGATTGATTCTTGTACTAAACAATTGTATAATATTTCTTAAAACAAAATAAATTTTGTTAAGCAAATTAATAGTAGCTATGCTAAATTATCAACTAGTCATATCGAATCTTAAACTAGTCATATTGAATCTTCAACTAATTATACTAAATGTTCAACTAATTGCATTGAACCTTCAATTAGTTATATTGAATCTTTAACTAGTTGTACTAATCAATCTCTACTTTCAAAAAAGTGTTATACAAGAAATTCAGTTCAATCAATTCAACAAAATAAATTTAAAAAAAAATATAAAGTAGAGATTGAATATTTGAATGATTCTGAAGATTCTGAAGATTTAAATAATTCTGATAATTCTGATAACTTGGAGTCAAGTAGCAGTGATATTTCTAATACTAATAATAATGATAAAGAATAGTCAAATAAAATTTTGAAATTTACAAATGATAATGATAATGAGTAGATAAATAAAGTACCAACTATTAAATATGATAATTGAGATATTTATGAAGATTATTCAGCTTCAAAAGCTAATAGTTATTCAAAATCTGTATATACAGATTTTATTTCACTATATCCAGACCATGAATGGATAATACTTTAGATTTTAAAATTTCAAAGATGATGTCATCTTCCTAAAGTACAAACAAACTCATTAATTAAATTTCAAAAATTAATCCTTACAGAAATTTATAATAATAAAGAAAAATTTTAGTTGTTTCCAAAAACAGTAGATAAAGTGCAAGAATATTTTAATATAAATGATAATAAAAATGATAATTTTTTAATATATTTAGCTTGTCCTAGCTGTTATAAATTATATAATCTGGATGATGTTATTAAATTTACAGATAACAGTAGATCATTGGCAATTCAAAGGTGTAGTCATGTTAAATTTCCAAATATTACAAGGTCACATCAAATCATTACTTGCAATTCAGATTTAGTAACTTAACATTGAAGATTAAATAATAAAATTGTAAATAAAGTGATTTTATTATATCTATTTTCAAGTATAAAGAGTCATTTATCAAGAATGTTTAAGAGATCTGGTTTTAAAGAAGCATATTGTAAATAGACTACACAAGTAGTTAATAATAATATGCTTTTGGATATTTATGATAGCAAAATATGGAATGAATTTTCTGATGAGCTAAATAGTAATAAACCTTTTTTACTCATGAGTTTGCAGATACACATCTTGACTTTATGTTAAATTTAGACTAGTTTCAACTATATAAAAGATCTCAATATAGCATTAGTGCAATTTATATTGCAATTTGTAATTTGCTAAAAGATATTTGTTTTAAAATTAAAAATATAATAGTAGTTGGTATATTATCAGGTAAATATTAAAATTTAAATTAAATTAAATCTAATATTTATTTTTATTATAAAATAACTAAATTTAAACTTAAATAATTAAATCTAATATTAATTTTTATTAGGTCCTAAAGAAGTAAAATTGTACCAAATAAATCATTATTTATCACCAATTGTAGATAATTTAAATGAAATCTGGCAAGATATTAATGTATCAACTCATGAATGCTCAACAGTAAAAAAAATTCGTGGTGTTTTAATTTCATATGTATATAATTTACCAGCTTGTCGAAAGTTGCTTGGACATATTTCTCTATTAGTAGCTTGTTATAGATATAAAAAATGAGCAAAATTTGAAAAGAACTCTCATCATTTTGGAGGAATTGATGATATAGACTTATGGTTTATTGATAAAGATTCATTTAATCATCAACAAAATGCAAACCAATAGAGAAAGTGTTATACAGCTTCAGGTAGAAATAAATACACAAAATCTATACATACATGGTGGTCTAAACTGCTTCGATTAACTTATCTTGATTCTATTTGTTTTTTGCCAATAGATCCAATGCATTATTTATTTTTAAGTGTTGCTAAATGGATTGTTAAAAATTTATGATAAATTTTGGCAAACTAAAACCCCAAGAATTAAATTTAATTCAAGAAAAAATGTCTAAAATTCAAGTTCCATCAGAGTTAGGTCGAATTCCTAG